CCACAGAGATGGGAGGAATCACGTGCTTTCCTTCCATTCTCCTTTTCCCCCATACTTGTTTGGGTTGGATCTTGAGGGCTTATTTTGTAAGAGTTTTCCTTTTTTGCCTTCTTTTTCTTCACTACAGCATGGGAGCAGCTCACCTGATGGGATGTAGCTCAGGAAGTAGATTGCCCGTGATCACAGTTGCCTTTGTCAATGGTGACACACATCAGGTTCTCCACCTCAGCAGTTGGTTCACCTGTGCAGTATGCAACAATTTGTGTTCTTGAGAGCTGGAATGATGTTTTGGTGTAATGGAAGCCTTTGGGCATTGTGTAGGGACATCTGGATGAAGCTTAATGATATGGGATATGGAAGATGTCATACTAGTCACAGGAGCTGATTCCCTCCTGATCTGAAACTCTTTAAAATATATGAAGTAAGAGGTTGCTGAATAAAAGAGAACTTTGCAAATCTCACAGGATTGGGCTCCCTGTTATTTCCTTGCCTGAAAAGCAGACAGCCCCCACATAGTGAGTTCTCAGGTCTAGGAATATCTTCTTGAACAGTGTGTTCACCTGCAGGCTGTTTGAGTACCAGAGGTGTCTGAGTATTGATGCCTAAAATAAAATGTTTCTGTTATTGTGGGTATTGAGGAAACTCAAGAATAACATGGGCCTGTGAAGTCATTATATTCAAGAAGCAGCTCTCTCTTCTCCTGCATTTAGAACCCTGGTAGTATCACATTCTGTTTTGACAGCTGTCAGAAGTTAAATGAAATATATTTGGGGAGAGGAGGGTTGAGCTACGGGGGAATTGTTATTTGCAGCGCTCGCCAACAGTTGCAGTTTTCACTTGGTAACATACATGCTGTCTGTTACTCTGTCTCTTTTCTTCTCCTTCGCTAAACTTTCGTGCCCCTTATTTCTGTGTCTCCTGTAGCAGGGACCGGTGCCATCCAACCTGTGCTGCTTTCAGTAGGAAACATCCTGGTAATTCCTTACATGTGAAACGCAGCCCCTGCTCTGCCCTGCCCTGATTTTTCTTCGGTTCTTTTTCAGTGACTGTCAGCTCCCAAACTTTGCTGGTGCCACTGCCTGCCTTTCATCTCCCAAATTCAAGCTACAGTTTTGCCCTGAGGAAACTGAATTGATGCTCTTACCTTCTTTACCTTCTTTTTTCCTTTTTCTTTTCTTTTCTGCTTTCCAGCTGATGGCATTTATTCTCACCGCTTACTGTAGCAGCTTGGTTCTAATGTGAAACTCTGCTAAAGATCTTTAACTTACCTATCTATGAGGTGCTTATGCTCAGTGTTTATATGCAAGGGAGGGGGGAGGTTCAGAGGTGTTCGAGTTGTGTTTTGGATTCCTGCCTGAGGGCTGTGGAAATAAGCATTAATTAAACTTGTTTTAGCTTTAGCTCAGGAGCACCTGGAACTTCTTCTGCAGTCAACTCTTTTTGTCCTGCTGTCATTGCAAGTACCCAGGCTCCGACAGCGTTGGCTGGGCTTGCCCGGGACCGTGCGGAGCCCCGGGCTCCCAGGACCGCTCGCTATTCCTCCTTTGCATCACACGGTGGCAGAAAACGCCCGGCCTATCTCCTTGGTGAAATCCCAACAGCTGTCTCTGTCTGCAGCACTTCGTAGTGAAAACGTCACCTTGGAAAATGAAGTCAGTTTAATTCTCTGTGCAGGAGGAGCTGCTTTTCTAGCCAAGGAATGTGCGTCCATCCACAGCTTGCAGAGCGTGTGTTAAGGGTGTGTGTAGGATCCACCGAGGTATTGCATCTGACAGTCAATGTATGTATGTTAACAGTGTAAAAAAGGTAATTATATAGCTGGAATAAATACAGGCATTTAGTTTTAATTAGGCTTTTGATTAAATATAAAAGTGCAATTAAGAGTGACAGATACAGTAGAGCCTGGTAGACTACGTGACAATTTTTGGCTCCAAAAACTCCTGATTCTTTGTCAGTCTTGATTTCTTCTAAAGATCTCAGTGACTGTTCTATTGAATCTTTGATCTGAAGTATTCCTTATTCTCTCTCTCTCTCTGTTTCTCTGTATATATATTCCTATCTGTTTTGTGATTTCAGTATTTTTGTTGGTAACAGGTTTACATTGCTTTACAAAAAAATTATTTTGGTTTTAGGAGAGATGGTAACATGTAGATGTTAGCCAAACAGCTAAGAATTAAATTTGTATTTTTAAGCCATGATAATACACTTTAACTGTATTTTGCCAACCTTTTCAGACTTTCTTTTCTGAATAATGAAGCTATTGTGAATGTGTCTCTGAGAGCATGAGCAATTAAAGGCTCACGTGAGAGACATATAAGAGATAACATAGGAGGGAAAGGTTATTATTATAAAAATATAAAAGTAGATACTACAAGATCTACTTGTATAACTGACTCTGATACATGCATTAATAAGTTACTTTAAGTGTCATGTCTCCTATCGCACTTAAATGTTGTTTTTGTTATAAGCCTTAGTTTTGCAGAATGCCTGGGCCTGGATGGGTTTAAACTAATCCTGTGTGCACTAATTTTGAGAAGAAGATCATTAAATAATTCTAGATATGAAGCTAATTATAGATATGAAGCTAATTATAGACTCCTCTCTTAAATGTCTTGGCTAGGGTATTTGTCTAGTATCTTAATAAATGAAGAAATCATTACATAAATGCTTGGATAGAGGAAAAAGAACAAAAACCTGTAACCTTCTGTTACTGCCAGTATATCTCAAATATGGTTAGTCATAGTTTAGTGCAGTTTTGCATAATTTCACAGTGGGTCTGCAAGGTCTTCCAGTGTTACCCTGAACTTGTGAGCCAAACACAGTGGTTTCCTGGCTTTATCACAAGTCTGCTGCAGGACCTCCAGCAAACCCTCCTCTTTGTTCTTCGTCTTTCTTTCGTCTTTCACTTTTCATTTACCTTGAATACTGACAGTGCAGACACTCCTGAGCAGGATTGTGCTTCTAATACATGGTTGCACTGCTCATAGGTGTTAGGATCCTGTTGGGGATTGAGGACTGAGTTACCAAAACACAAGAGCTCACAAAACAAGTGTTCCTGCACTTAATATTCGCTGAGGGGACAAATGGGTACAGCTCCTCCTTGACACAATAAGAGGATGATGGCCAGCCTTGAGAGACAGTTTTCTGCACATCAGTAGATGCCCATGTTTTCATTAAATTGCTTACTTAGGCTCAAGATTGTAGCAGGCAACGTTGGGAGGGCTCCTGTAGCCTACAGTGCAGGGACACAAGCAGCTGTTCCCCATGTCTGTCTGTTACAACTTGTCATTTCGTTTCACAGTATGGAAGGTGTGAGAAGTGACAGGACGAAATAAGCACAGAGGGAACCAACTGTTTTATGTGGCCGTGTTAACGAATAAGCTGGGAGTGAAGTTAACTTCATGTGAAGCTGTTTAAATTATTTATTTTCAATCCTGGAACTGTACTTAATGTGTTGTTAAGGCAGAGCCATGTTGACAGGGTGATGCTAATTACCCCACTGGAAACACATCACATTAGCTGGAAGCAATGGTTTGCAGCTATCATTCATGGCTCTGGGTAAAGCTGCAGCCTTTGCAAATCTTGGCAAACAGTTTCCCCCTCCACCTGTGGAAGTTCCTTCTGCACCCACCTGCAGCTGCAAACTAGGTCTATACTCACAGCAACATAATGTAAAGTTCAATGGTTATTGGGCACTGCTCATAGGTGTTAGGATCCTGTTGGGGAATGAGGACTGAGTTACCAAAACACAAGAGCTCACAAAACAAGTGTTCCTGCACTTAATATTCGCTGAGGGGACAAATGGGTACAGCTCCTCCTTGACACAATAAGAGGATGATGGCCAGCCTTGAGAGACAGTTTTCTGCACATCAGTAGATGCCCATGTTTTCATTAAATTGCTTACTTAGGCTCAAGATTGTAGCAGGCAACGTTGGGAGGGCTCCTGTAGCCTACAGTGCAGGGACACAAGCAGCTGTTCCCCATGTCTGTCTGTTACAACTTGTCATTTCGTTTCACAGTATGGAAGGTGTGAGAAGTGACAGGACGAAATAAGCACAGAGGGAACCAACTGTTTTATGTGGCCGTGTTAACGAATAAGCTGGGAGTGAAGTTAACTTCATGTGAAGCTGTTTAAATTATTTATTTTCAATCCTGGAACTGTACTTAATGTGTTGTTAAGGCAGAGCCATGTTGACAGGGTGATGCTAATTACCCCACTGGAAACACATCACATTAGCTGGAAGCAATGGTTTGCAGCTATCATTCATGGCTCTGGGTAAAGCTGCAGCCTTTGCAAATCTTGGCAAACAGTTTCCCCCTCCACCTGTGGAAGTTCCTTCTGCACCCACCTGCAGCTGCAAACTAGGTCTATACTCACAGCAACATAAAGTTCAATGGTTATTGGCTTCTTCCCCTCCCCACTTTTTTTTTTTGGGGGGGGAATGGGTAAGCTGAGTGTTTGAATGATTGATCTCTCTGTTAGACATGGCACATCTTAAAAATGTGAGGATGTTCATTAACTGATCCACCAGTATAAATGCATGTGCTTGCTGTTCCTGTAAGTGCTTTCACACAATTCCCTTAATGATTCAGTTCCCACTCCTTAATTCATAGCAAGACTGTTGTGTCCTTCAGAACAGGAAATTGCTGCATTTGGAGTTTCCACTCTTTGCAAAGCCTTTGGCTTAAACATTGTTACTGAGAACTGGATGTGCCTTGAGTAGCATCTGTATGGATGTGTGCTAACAAAAGCAAGGAACTGACTTTTTTCCTCCCTTCTTGTTCAGCATCACAATGAGTTAAGGACTCCAAAATGACTCAACTGAGGAGTGCTGGCAACAAAATGCCTGGCTACTTTGAGTTGCTACATCATGTTTTTCTGGATACTTCAGTTCCATGGTTAATGCAATTAGAGGTTCTACTGGGAGAGCATGCGTATGCAGTGTTTGTTCATTACAGCATGAGGCTGTGCCTAATAATGTCTGACCCTCTGTCTGTAGGTTAGGCCAAAGACCCTGATTCCAGACAGCCTCCCCATCTCCCCGTGCAGAGACCAACCTTCCAAGCAGCCTCCTACCTTCCAGAAGGCAACCGTAGTCAGCATCAAAAACCCCAGCCCTGCCCTCCCGACTGCCAACAACACCGTCAGCCATGTACAGACACCCAACAGCCAGTCACAAAGTGTCACCGAGTCTACAGCTATTTCATCACCTCTGAGCAGTGCAGGTGTGGCCTATGCCATCATTTCCACCTCCCCCAACAATGCAACTCCTATCAGCACCAGTGCAACTGTCTCTGTGGTCAACGACAGCATTAAAGTGCAGCCACTCCTCATTAGTGCCGACAACAAGGTAGGTTCTGCTTTTCCTGGATTTTGGGTTGGGTTGGGTTTTTGGTTATCGAACACAGGAATTGTGTGGCAATATAAGCAGAATATTCCCCTGGGAGTGCACAGCCCTGTGCAGAGTGATGTCAGTGGTTCCTTTTGAAGAAAATAATCAGAAAGCAATGAGGAAGTTCTTGTGGGGACACATGGACACCAGTAGACATTTATCTGGTACGTGCATGACTTTTTAGCAGAATAAAATGCAGCATCATGTAGCCTGACATTAATGGTTCCATATGATCTTCCATTTCCTTACACCAATCCCTGCTAATAATATCCCTGAATCCTGTGCAGGCTCAGATTTGCTATGGACTCCCTCTTCAATTATACAGTGATATTAGTTATATCAACTAACCCCAGGGGAGTGTATCAAATAATCAGGCATTCCCTTCTACACTTTCAGGGGAAGACCAAATGAAATGAGAGCTCAGGGTTTCAAAACTGCAGATGAATCAGCAGGGGAAAAAAAGCAAACAAGTTATGAATTACTTTTCTCCTCTTTGTACTGCTTTTCAGCTTTGAAATGCAAGAACTTCACCCCTCTCATACCAGAAACAGATTAAATAAAGGCTGCAATGTACCTAGCAGACATTAGTTGCAATATACTACTGGGATCCTGCTATTTTGGGTCTTGTTGGGAGCACAGGTTCTCATACCGTGCTAAAAAAGAGTACAGGATGTAGAATTACTTACGAGGTAAATAATAGCAGGCATCTCATTCCCACTTCTCAAGCATAATTTATTTTTCTCTTACTTAAACTGGCTGCTGACTAAGAAAACTGTCCCTTTTTATGCTCTTGAATCTTATAGAGTGCCTGAGTTGAGATAAAGTATCTAACAATTAAATAGCATTGATTGAAAGTTAGTAATGAAGTAGGTGGAAAAGGCCCAGCACTCAAATCCAGTAACTTCCATCAAGAAAGTGAGCTTGGGAAGGCCTCCCACAGTCCTTCATGAAGCTTCAATTATAGGTATAAAGTCACATGTGTAGTTCTGTGGTCAGAAATTGTCCTTCATTCCTTTAAAGTTAATAGCTTCTGAGGTAATGTTATCTGCACTGTCTAAATCTTCACATGGTAATTCAAATGCAAGCAGCTGGGATGTACTAATATACACGCCTGTATAAAAGATCTGTGTGGTAATTCTTACAGGTTCTAAACAAGAATGATTTTTTTATTTAAAACAGAAATAGGTTTTTTTTGTTTATGCAAAACTGGACATCCAGTGCTCTTAACCCATAAATGCTGAGGCCTGAAGTCTGATCTGTTACTTGATTAGTACTGAGGAGTATCTCCCTTCCCACCTCCATGTACTCACTCTGAAATGACACTAGTATGACTGAGATCAGACTATGGTTTTGAATATATAGTAATTCGTCTGGTCTACCTGTATGCAAAATAAAATCAAAGGAAAGACTTCAAAAATCTCTGACAAGATGAGTGCTAAAGCTAGGCTGCTGAGTCAGCTTCAGAAGTCCCTTAAATAGAATGTGTCCTAATTTTCAGAGGCACTGAAGTGATTCCCTTAGGCTGCAGTAGGTTTATAATGCACCTATAAAAAACAACTTTTAGAAGCTTAAAGTATGGATTTAGAAGCCTAACCTTGGTATCCAGGTTTTTATATTTTTGGCTTCTGACTTGCATTTGTTGTCTGTAGAGTGATCAAGTAACCCTTCAAAGAAGAATCAAAGACTTCAGGTGGAAAAATCCAGTTTCGTATAGTGAATCCTCTTCCTTCGTTTGTACCTTGTCTTTTAGGTTATCATTATCCAGCCTCAAGTCCAAACCCAGACAGAAAGTAAAGTGGAGACAAAGAAACCTCCTGAAGGTTCAGCTCAGGGACCTCCTGCTACCAAAAAGAAAAAGGAGGAAAATCCAGAGGTGATTTTTAATTTTATTTATTTTTCTTAGTAGCTGAGCAACAGAATGGTTAAGTTATGGGGACGATTTCTAAACAGTTTTCTCTGTGCGTATGTAATTGCTGCATTTGTGGTCGTGGTTCTACCAGTTGTTCATCTCTTTACCCTATCAGTGCAATCGGATTATTTCCCTGGGACTGTGGTGTTCTGACACATTTGGTTTGCATCATTCAAACCTTCCACTGTCACAAAAAGTACGAATTGTAGGTCTCACAATAATCTAGGCACCTTGCATGAGTTTCGCTCTATTTCTTGTGAAAGGTGTATACAAGCTTGAGATATTTTCATTTATGTTATCAAATATATAACTACGGAGTGTGTATGAGGTTGAATTAACATTTCTTTTGTAAGCTGAGCTTTCACATCTTCTTTGTAATGAATTTTGCAGTTTTTAGGTTGTATCTAACAATACGGTTTCTTGCTTTTGCTGTGTACATCTTCCCACATGTACACGGATTCCTTCTAGTCTGAAATACATTAAAATCCTTCAGCTTGAGTAAGAGAGCAGAAAGCAGGTTATAAGATTAAATCTCTTTCATGAACTGCATTTGTGATGTAAACTAAAAATGTAAATCAGAAGTCCTTGTAGAAATGGGGTCTCTCTTTAATAGGCATTTTGGGTTTTGACTGTAAGTATTCACAGTAGATTTTATGTACTTTTAAGGCAATTTGAGAAGTCATACAAATTGAATCTACATCTATTGTGAAAATGCTCATCTCCTGTGAAATCCTAACCTTACTAGTCTAATAAATGTGTAGCAAGAAAGCATCCTTGGAGCTGTAGGTTTAAGAGGATTATTACAATATGGATTTATAATGTCACTTGGGGATGTGGGTGGTCATTCATTTTGCCATTTTAAGAGGTTCGTATAGTTTAAACACTGTTAAGGATAACTAGCCTAGCATCTCACAGCCTTTTGCAGAAGTACAACAGAACTACATTTATGAAACCTCCCAAGTTTAAAATCTGACCCTCTTATCAACATCCATTGCCAGTGAACAGCAGGAGTGTAGGGTCCTGTTTTGTTTATTTTCCATAAGATTATTTGTTGTGTAGCACCTTGTGGGCAGAAAGGTTAGGAGATCCTGCTTAGAAACAGAGTGCTAGAGAAGCCATCCATTTTTGTTTGCCTGTAATGTATCTACCAAGAAAGAATACTGAATATCTTCTAGACAGATGCAGGAAGAGACCATACGACTGGGGACACATTTTGGTGTAGCATTCATAAATTGAACAGGCTTTTCATTAAATTGCTAACTAGAATATCCTCACTACCTTTTTGTAAGCAAGAACATTGCTCTTACTGTGCATGTTGGAGGTCTGGGCAAGCACCATTTTCTGGCAAGCACCATGAATCTCCTAAGTGTGCCCTCAAGTATGATGATTCTTCTGTTTTCATAGATTTGCTTCATGGATGTAAATACGTAGGTCTAGAGTTAATTTCTTTTGTTCTTTGGAAGTAAACTTTAGTTGATTATCATGTATTTATGCAATTAGTGTAATTAGAACTAACGGCATAATTAGTGTAAATACATGTAATGACATAAATGGAACATGCAATTACAACATGAAATGGTTTTGTAAAAATCTTTGTTTCACTTCATGAAAAGACATACTGTGCATTTCTAAAAGCACTCCTGGCTTTTCAACAGATGATTAAATTTAAGGCAAAGAGTAACAAAGATGCCATGATATTTTTTAAAAGAAAATAAGCACTCTAGGCACTTGTCTTCACACCTTTATTTGTCTTCGAAGTGCGAAACTGAGACAAGAACTCCAATATGACTCCACATAAATGTTAGTCATGACAAACTGGGATTTAACTAATTAAATTGAAATTTGAAAGCAAATACATGATAAATCACTGGACTTGCCAGTAGCCAGGAATCCCATATGCAGTTACTGAGCATACCTGCGTGAACAGAATGAACAGAAAAGACTGAGGACAGTGATGATCTTTTGTTCCTGGTGTGGTCATTCTCCTGGACACAGCCCCCTGCAATATCTGTGCCTTTTGCATAAGGCAGACATTCCTCCTTTCCCAAGTGCATCGTCATTAGACGAAAGCAAACCTGGCATTGGCTGTCTTGCAGCCAGAATGCCTGGATGCCTGGCTGTGGAGTAGCTTTCCCAGAAGCAGGATGGCGCCTCTTGACCACCCAGGTCCAGTGGTTAGAGCACTCTCCTGGGCTACGAGCTGAGTGAGTTCCATCCCCCAGGGCTGTGGAGGATGTGAAGGAAGGTCTTTTTGTTTGTTTGCTGGCTTATTTTCTTAAAAGAACCTGAGTTTAGCACAGAAAGAAACAGAATTCTGCCCAAAAGTTTATTTTATATTAGTAAGCTTTTTATATTTCTGGCAACACTTCCCAAGACATTCTAGCAATTTTTTATTTAAAAGAAAACTTGCTGCCAAAATTTTGGATTATATAGCTAACGGTTTTTTTAATTCCACCAAAGGACAAGAGAGACATATTCCAGTGGTGAGCTAAATGCTAGTGTTAGGTCTGCATTGAAAATCTGGAGACACTGAGACCTCAGTTTTGTGGATTCTTGCACAGAGGAGAAACAACAGAGTCTGTGATATTTTAAATAAAAGCACTGCAGCTGAAGTGGTGTTTTGAGTTTAATCCAGTGAGCTTACATGAGTGTGACATAGCAAACCCCATAAAGACAAATATACTATTAATATAATATGCTTGTTAAAAAGAATACAGCATCTCCTGGGATTTTTTTAAAAGGAAGCATCTTTCAAATATCTATAAAGACTAACCTTTCCTTGTTTAATAGTGAGATAATTATCAAGTCAATTTATGAAGTCTCTTAATATGTTAAGCAAGTATGCTGTCATTATGGTTAATTAGGTATGTATTCAAGTAACTTTATCATGAAGAGAGAAAATAGTTTAGCAAGCATTCTAGTACTCAAATAATTTTAGTTGAGATGTCAGAAAATGTGTGTTTCCCCTACAGTTCAGTCTTTAGGTCATATGGGCATTCTGCAATTCACTGGGAAAATACAATTACACATTAGCTGTTCCAACTTTCTGAGTCTATACCTAAATGTTGTTATTGCTTCTGCTTAAAGCAGAAGTTACATTTTGGTGGGAGTGAGATGAAGTGAAGATGTAATTCCACTCAGTTGACTGATTTTCTTCTCTCAGATCTGCACAGTGGATCTTCGATCAAATATTCATCTTTCCCTTCAGGTGTAGATCCCCCCACTGTGTCTAGCTGGTGTTTCAGACATGTCAAGAGCAAATGTTATTGAAATCAAGGCCTCACACATGTGCTTGATATTGCCACAGTTGTGGAGGGCAAAAATAAGAGCATGCATGTATCTAAATTACCAGTGATGAGATTCTCATCACCATTTTTTAATCTACAAGGAGAGTTACATATGGGAAGATTATGGAAAGAAAATATTGCTGCTTTTTGAGGGTGTCAGTTCCCCTGTTTGACGAAGGTATTTTCACAGATACCAGAGGGGTATAAATGTCCAATCCTGACCCTCAGAGTTTGAAGAACCCACCCCAAAGCTAGGTCTTTTAATCTACAGAATGAGGGTGTGCTTGCTTTCACAATTTCACTGGTGAAAGACAGCATTGTAAAGTAAATGGTAGTTCTGATGACTTACTAGTTGATTTTTATCCTGAACTGGAATGAAAAGTTGAATCATCAGACTTTTCACAAAACACAAAGGTCAAACTAATTTTGACTTGGAAGTGTTGAAACATGTTCTCCTTACACTTTTTTGATTGAAACAGAATATGTTGACCTTCTGCTGCTAAAAACTGGATTTTAGTTTGACCTAAATCTCCACATTTTGTTTTGGATGAGTATGATAATAGTGTCTTCCTATGGTCATTCGATGCTTTATTTGTGTTGGATTATGGACTTTGGTTGCTTGTATTTCCTAATAGCTTGGGTTTCATAGTCAAATGGTCTCTCCTGTGGAATTTCACCTCATGAAACTGTCACTTGGGTTACCTACAACAAACTTTTTAAGGACATCAGAGAGAGGAAGAGAATCCTGAGGCCTCATGGTACCACAGATGTCACTTCAAACCAAGAAGTTCAGTTCAGTTTGGGTTTGGAACAGCACAGCAGAATTTCAGTTTTCCATGAAAAAGATGGCGTAAAAACTTCATCAGAACTTCTTCTGCAAGGAAGAAATTCCTGATGAAAAATCACTGACAGAAAATGTAATCTGCTCTAATACTTGCCCTATTACTGCATGGGAAGATTTGTTAGTATGTATATGTGTTTTGTGCATATCTAGTGTAAAATAATATAGTGTTACTTTCATTCCAATTCCTCAATGCAAAATGAGTTCACCAGTGTCAGTGGGAGATGTTTGTTCACTCCCCATTGACAGAAAATATTGGATCAGTGTTCTTAATAATTAGTGCATGTGATACGCTTTTTATAACGTGCCATTGACAGAAAATATTGGATCAGTGTTCTTCTTAATAATTAGTGCATGTGATACACTTTTTGTAATGTCGGAAGAGAAATTTCTGAAAGCTTTTTTGGGTTTAGGGGCCTTTCAGTATGCTTTATGTGTCTTGTTTAGTGTTTAAAGTTCAGTGAAAGTGTCTCATATCTTGTTTTACTTCATGCAGCTTGCTCACATCCAGTAAAAGCAGTGTTTTGTCGAGATAGTGATAGTAATAATAATGCACAATTACCTCTCTAAAGAGTGGAATAACAACGCAGCTAGCAATATGAAATTGAATAGAATGAATTGACTGAATTTTGATCATGTGCTGTATAAAATCAGTAGTCATACAGCTTTGGTTTCCTAAGTCTCTGAACTGCTGAAGTTCATATAGACATACACGTAGGATGTGACTGACCAGGCATATCTAAAGCAAATCTTCAATTAAATTTCTTCATATCATTATGGATTAAAATAAGACGCATTACTAAAAGACCTTTATTGGGTTTACTCTGTCAGCGTTGAATTTATTTGCTTACTTCTACCATGATTGTTGTTGTAGAAGATCTAACTCCCATTTCCTTTTTTCCTTAGAAAATTGCCTTCATGGTAGCATTAGGACTGGTTACAACAGAACATTTGGAAGGTAAGATGGCATGTGTTGTTTTACAGTTCCATTTTTGAGCGAAATATCTTCTCTTGGCTATCCTCAGCAGGGCAATAAAAAAATCAGGTGAAATGTTACCTGTACAGAATTGTGCATTTCAGCCTTTCCTCCCATCCCATTACACAGCTCGAGGGGCATGAGAACTGGCTCTGCAGGCAGCACCAGCAGGCTTGGCATAAGCTGGTATTTGGGCTCACTCAGTCATCATGGTCCTTTAAGGGGTGTTAACAACTGGAGGATGATAGTAAAACAAAAAAAGTCTGCAAAGGCTGTGACCAGCAATGCTGTGGCTGAGGAGTCAGCAAGGTTCAAAGACATTTACTCAGGTCTTCTGTAACAAGCAGGCCCTCTCCTCCTTCCCCCTATGAGATGGACTTTTCATTCTTCAGTAATAATCTATCTTCTCTAGAGTTCCACAGAATAATGTGTAAAATAGTGGTGAAAATCTGGCCTTTGTTTTGTAAGATTTTAAGTAACTTACATAACTATCCCTTTCAAATACTGCCTTCCCCACATTTCATCAAAAAATAAGAAAGCTGCCAGTCTGATCCTGGTTTTGTTTGTTGTTTTTGTTGGGTTTTTTTGTGAGAGCTGCTCATATGCCTTCCCAGGCCTCTGAATATGAGTTCAAACAAATATTGCACATAAACTGGAGTCGGTATCACATACTGTTCAGTTTACTTTTCCAGCCTTCCAAAAAGACCTTGCAAGAGTTAGATTTGTACCTTGCTTTGCCTCAGCTTTGCCTTGCTGAAAACATAGATGAGAGGGAGGGAAAAGAGCTTGTTCAGCAACTTTGCCGGTGGCTTGAGGTGAGTTTGGGGGTTTCTTGACAGAAAGGTTTCGTTTTCATGGACAGAGCAGAAGATACATCTATTTTTAAGAAAAAGTCTACAGCTTGATGTGTTTTAGTTACATGCTCAGCTAATACAAGTTGGTGTGGTTCCACTGGTGTAAGGAGAACAAATCTGTTATGTCTGCCAGCTGACAGTGGTTCTTGATCACTAAGAATATTCATGATAATTGATATTTACCGCCATCCCATAGACCATTGACAGCAAAATACTTAGGATTTTCCATTGAACCAAGTTTAAAATTTATGTGCTTTAGACTTAGGTGGATGCTTAGATATTTTGCTGACTCAAGAGGTATCTACCACTTTACAGCTTGATTTGTTTTTAGTAAGATTCCCCGCGTTTCTGTTCTTTGGTTTTAAGAGAGGCTGTGAATTAGTGAGAAAATAACATCTTAATTGTAAGGTCTCCTCAGTATATTCAGGTTTCCTGTGGGTCTTGTTTCCTATTTTTTTGGTGTCTTTCTCCTTTAAATCTGCATTTTAGAAAATAATGTAATGTCCCAGTGACTGAGAATTTGAAAGCAGTTTAAAGAAACTTTAAGCCATCAGCCTTTTTAATACTTTAATGGTAATGGATTGAAATGGAAATTAAAAAGCTACATCAATTTTGGGAGAAGATTTATAATCCAAAAAGTGCAAATGATGACTGGTTCTTGTTTTCTTTGTCTAAGGAAAATAGGACAACATTCGAAATTATGCTGAAGTGCAAATTACGCTTACAACAGAGAGAACTTAATTTTTAATAATTCTTTATCCCTTGATTTTATTGGAACTAATACATTGTTTGTGTGGATTTAATACTTATGTTCAAAACGCCAAGTACTGTTTGTTCTACTGCAAGTGTGGAAACGCACATTTTGAACCTAACTACTACAATAGTAATCCTGCAGAATCAATTCTTTCAGACATATTCACTTTTTATATTCCTACTAGCGTAAAATAAATGGCTCCCACCAAGAGCTATTTACTATGGAAGGGGTATTTCTTCAAGAGTATTGGTGATTGCAGCTGTCAGAAATACCCTTATAGCTTTCAAATGCTAAAGGTTATTATTTTAGTGCTATGTCATATTTACTGTTATAGCCATTGCTATTTATCAAGAAGCAGTGGTCATTACAGAGTTCAGTTTATTTTAGTACTTCTAATGTATTTCTCGATTTCACATTTTTGGAATTAAACTGTATCAAGATTGGGTCATTAAAAGCTTATTCACTCAGTATAATTAATTCCTAGTGTTACTGCTTTTCTTTATTTTACTCATTAATTTTGGGGGGCAGGGCTATGATGCACTTTCTATGTGGATTTCTCTATCAGCCTAGCAGCTTTTTCCTGTAGCACCCAGAGGACTGTCTTTCCACTTACTGGGAAAAGAGCTCTGTTCTGCAGAGTGTGAGGCATCTTTTGAGGCCTTTACCAATAAATGAACACAGCCACTTCCACTGACTAACATTCTGCAAGGCACAGCTTCCACTGAAGATAAATTGTCATTACAAGCCTCATAGAATGACCATTCAGAGTGCTTATTAATGGAAAGCAGCAACTCATTGTAGCTTCACCTCCAGCATAAAGCTCTCTTCTGATTTATTCATCTCTGTCAAATGTATTACAATTTAGAGGTCGTTGTTTTGGGGTTTTTTTTCTGTTTGGGTTTTTTTTTTTAATTAATAAACTAAGGAATAAGCCCAAATCTGTGATGCAGTGCATGGTTGTAACATACTGAGTCTCTTTCTCTAGACATCTTTTACCACTACCATTGTGTGACATCAAAAAAACAACAACAAACAAACAAATAAACCACAAAAAACCCACCAAAACAAAACAACCAACAAAAGAGTTCTAAAGAAAACTTTAAAAGAATTCTTTCCTTCAGGTAGTTCTAAAAATGCACATTTTGTTTTACTGTAGCAAATAAAAACCCTGAAATATTTTAAATTTCCACATAGATTACTGGAATGGTTTAATCAGCTAAAATAAATTATTTATGTTTATTAAGCCCTGTTTTTAGCAAAAGTAATGAGTAACAAAAGATACTATATCAACATATGCTTCTCTTCTATCTTGGATATTTACAGCTGATTATTTACAGCTACACTCTTAGATATACATACTCCTTGTATCACAAGCATATTTTTAGTTCACAGTTTCCATAAATAAAGGGCTGCTATTGTGCTCTCCTTCCCTGATGGCTGCACAGGATGGAGTACATCCAGAGCTGTTTCAGGCCATTACTTCCTCTCTCTCTCTCTTTATTTCCATCTATTCCCACTGCTAATACTTTTCCCTCCAGCCAGCTTTTAACTCTGTACCACAACGATGCCTCTTCCAAACCTGCATTCTAGGTAGCTACCCCATGTGTGATTCAGACTCCATCAAATATTTCTGTTGCCTTGGTGAGAGCATGTACCAAAGATATTCTCTCTTAAACCTAGGACACAAAAGGGCAGAGAGCTACAGATCCATCACAGTCCTATTGTGAAGAAAGTCAGCCCAGCTATGGACCCCAGCACTCAGGAAGCTCTGCTGTATTAAATTCTTTGTTTCTTTTTCTGTGACAGTGAAAAGTCGTGATCTTGTATCCTGTTGACCTCCTGGGCTTCCCGGTGGTGAGATTCTGCAAGCCTGCTTGACGCCACTGACCATGTAGCATGGGTTACTGGGCCTTGCTGCAAGAACCACAGCTCCAGCCCACACTCTTTGAGACCAAAGTAAAAAGTCAGTGCGTGTCCGTTTTCTCCATTTCTTTGCCAGCATCAAGGCACATGAATCCTCTGTTGTCACATCTCTGGCACCTTTCTGCCTTGACAGAATTCCACTTATATACACTGATGCTGACATCAAGAACAACCATCTCTTTCCTAGTGGTTCTGTGGCAGGTTGCTGGATCAGTGTCAAGCACTTACCCTGCTGCTGAGGCCTAATTACCTTCAGAGCATGCCAAAGGGTTTGGAAAGTTTTGGATGGAGATTTCAGCATAGCCAGATGAGCATTTCATAGGAAATAGTTCCACAGTGGGGCAGAACCAGTACCCATACAAGATCCTCCATTTTGGAGTCTGTGAAACACCAAGGATGCTAACAAGATACTGGGAGTGGTTGCAGTCATGGCATTTATCACACATCTTGGTGCAGCCTTGAATCACAGGTTTCTTGGTTAGTGAGATTCTCTTTAGCTCCCTGACTCACAGGGCAATGTAGATGTAGCTCATGTCAGATTGTGAGGACAGGTCTGTACTCTTTGAATTGCCATAGGAGATACCTTCTGAGCACAAGAGGTGACATGTTCCTGTGTCAGTGAGAAAACCCAGCCAAATATGCAAATAGTAGCTCTTATGTTTTTCTTGTCTATCTAGTTTCCTTCTGATAAATTTATGCAAGAGTGGTGGATGCACCAATAGCCCTTCATAAAATAAAAGTTTCAAATTAGTATCTTGGAACTGAGGGCAGAACAAAATCCATGCAGAGCGTTGGCCTTATCTCTAGGGACGCTGCATCCAAGACATGACTAGCAATACTAACAGCATTTACTGTAGCAACACTTAAAGTAGTATGTGCCCCCTTTTGCTCTGTGGAGAAGCAATCAACATTTGGAAAGGGTGCCTGGAAACCAGAACTATGTGTTGGAAATCCTGTTCCCATGAATTGTAGACATCCTGAAAGCTGGACTGTATCTTACTGGTGGATTTCAGATGGAAGATGGTGCTCAGTATCCCGAAGGTCATTTTCTGGTACTGAAGATGTTCTGAGGTAGACCACAGACACTGATGAAAGATGCTTGAACTTCTGCAGAACCAGATGGTGTCCTAAATTTCTGTTTGATGTGCTTCTATTCCTGTGGGCTAAAGGGCTAGTGCTCCTACCAGTTCCTCGTGTTCTGAGAGATTTACTTAGAGCAAGACAGAACAGAGGTATCAACCATCACAGGTACATTTATACTAACATCCCTCTGACACCCCAGTGCAGAGTCTAAGCTTTGGCTTACAATATTCACATAGGAAAGATTTAAAAACAGAGCTCCAGCCCAGCTGTGCACACTTCAGATCATGGGATGGGTATTGGGTGGCTCTCCTTTCTAAAGTAGGTCTGCTCTTACTTAATTATCAGAATACAAAGTAGGCTCTAAAACACGTGGTTATAATAATCTCACCATTATGAAATTACGTCAAGAGCTGGAAAAAGAAATTCCATATGACAGAAATGAAATCCTGGCTCACATAAAAGTAGCATTAAATCTGCAGATTTCAGCAGGCCAGGAACCCACTCATTCTCTCCGTGGGTGTTTGCAGCGGTATCTACGTGACCAATTGTTGCTAAATGCAGTGCTCAGCAAGTACCTCCTTGAAGAGGTGTTACCATTTAGCAGAAGGGAGTTCTCTTGTGTTTCAGCCTTTTCCAAACAGGACTGCAATTCCATGAGCCTAACTTTGCGCTGCTGTTTCCAGCGACACAAAGACATTTTTGGCTCATAACAACATGTTGCACGCTTGGGATCGTGAAGTTGTATATTTTTTGATGGATAAATCATCACACCCGACTTAGAACTAAATCTAGCCATGCTGTTCTGACCATACTTTTCCTCACCTTCACAGAAGAAAAGTAATGCAAATTAAATTTAAAAGGATCTCTGTGCTTCCCTCTGATACAAATTACAAGGCTTTTCTGCTTTAGATGCTTCATTTTTGTTAATAGCAGACATTGATAGTATTTTGAAAGCTCTCTGTTGATGCTTGCTGAATATGTGTCTGAGTGGCAGAAGTCCACCTTGGAGGAAGGAAAAAATAAAAAATGCCCATGTTGTGAATCATAGCAGGAAAAGCTTATTAATGTCAAACCTTGAACTGCAGCAAATATCAATGCTGATGCAACCCAATTATACTTCAGAAACGGAAACTGAACACAAAGCCCAAGGGGCTGAGGGTAAGAGCTTCTTGCTTAACAAGTTAGATCTACATTTTTCCCTGATGAATGAGAAACACAGAATTCATGTTTCTTTCCATGGTTACAGAAATCCAGAGCAAGCGTCAGGAAAGAAAGAGAAGAAGCACAGCAAATCCAGCCTACAGTGGACTCTTGGAAACAGAGGTACTTGATAATTCACATTTTTTTACCGCAGTTCTACTCACGTCAATAAAAGGTTTAAGTGCTTCATATTATGAAAGTACACATGAATACAGAACCACACATTTGCTTGTAGAGAGATACTGATGTAGAAAAGAAAGAAAAAAAACTCATCTCAGTAGCTAAGCAACAGGTTTTCACCCCACAACAGAACTTGCTTCAAACAAGAATTTGTCTTAGTTTTAATAAAGGCCAAAAGGACTTTGTGGGACCTAATCAGTCTTTCACCACTCTTTC